GCGGATATCCATTGTGCCAGTCGATTTGGCCATCGTTGCTCATCCATCCTTTCGAATTGACCATACCACTTCCATGGCTTTTATTCTTAGTCTTTTTTATTTATTATCCAAAGTACTGAACTAAATACTTTCTTTGTATATCTTTATTTTTGAGTTCCGAGTGATATGGTAACTCTAGAGTGTACCGTTCAGTTGACGAAATAAGACAGCACCAAGTGCCATCTATTACCAGAATCGGCCACTGCGAGAGTGTAAGCAGCAAGCTGCCTGTTGGAACTGTAACCCAGTTCGCGTTGTCAGCCGGCTGACTACTGAGGCAGCTAGATGCCGCGGATTCTGGTGCTATTTTGTCGGTGTAGGTATTGCATAATCATTTGCTTATCCATTATTCAACAACTATTCCAATGACGGCTTACTCTATCGAAATCAAACATGAATTCTGCATCCGCTAACGGGTGGCGCTTTCCAAAAGTAATGCTTTTAAATCATAACATTCTACAACGTTTACATATTCGTCGTAATTGACGGGTTCACCTTTTCAACCCACAACGTCAATGCAGGTGTTCCGCAGAGATCGGCTTGGCACCGGCATCGTTCCACTTACATATAAATGATCTCCTTTTCTGCACGAACAATCTAATCCACAGATTTGCTGATTACAACACTCTACATGCAGGAATTCAGAGTGACAGGCCGATCTCTGTCAACGAGTAGGCGAAAAGACTAGCAGCGACTTCCTCTCTGGCGCGAGATCTGAATGTTATCCCTGCTTGGGGACGCAACAATCTTGTACAGTTTAATGCTTCAAAAGCTCAGTACTCTATTTTGACGAACAAGAAGCGCCCTAGCGCCCATTCGGATTCTTCCAAAGAGCTGTTGATTCTGGTTGGTCCAGATCACGAGGACTTGGTCTGACACGAACACATTTCGTCAATAGCGGCAGCTGCTGGTAAAACACTAGGCTCTGTTTAGGGCTAAGAAATACTTTTCTCCACATGACCTTCTCACTTTGTACAAGGTCCAGATAGGACCTAGCCTCGAGTACTGCTCACATGTTTGGGGTGCTGTCACCCCGACTACATTACCCAGCTCGATGATCGATGACTCTTCCCTAACGGGAACCTTTCGCTCATGCGGGCCATCGGTGATCTAGCTCTCTTCTACCGCTATGCCAACAGGCTTTGCTCTTCAGAGCTCTCCTCCATGATGCTGCCGCGCGATATATCTGCCAGACAACTCGCCTGACTTCACCCTCTAATCCTAACCGAGTTGAACTTCGTACATCCAGAACAGGCCAATACGGCCGCCCCTTTGTCCCTGGGGTATCGAGATTGTGGATCAATCAACCCAAAGAGGTTTTTCTCAGTTATATTAACCTTAGTCAGTGGCAAACATTTGATTCACAGCTTATTTAAGCTCCTCATAACAGTAGCGGTGCCCTAGCATTTAGGCTTCTGGCTGCGCGGCTGCTTCGGTGTGAAAGAAATATATGGCTAGCCCGACCGTCACTATCTGAATGAGCTAATTGTTTTTCATGGATGTTATCATGTGAGGCCATAACTGGTTGCAATTTGCAATGCTGTGAAGGATATTTTTTTATAGGATCTCATATGCACTCGAAAAATTGTTATCTTATTCTGGTATACAATTCATACTAAGACATAAAGGGTAAAGGTCTTCTCAAAGACACAGTCATGAAAAAGGCGAGTAAATCAGCAGGTGGTTAACACAAGACGAAAAAACGACGAAGTACGCTTATTGGAAAAACATGTCCGAACATTTAAATATTATTCAAGTATTTTTGGTCGTAGTAGGTATAGCTAAGTTGATGGTTAATTGAATTGTCAAACATCAGTTCCATTTATTCATTCAGATTTACAAATACACTATTCGGTGGTCCGTATCTGGAGCTGTGAATCTGCGCGAAAAAAAGGAATTCAATTTCCTGGTTCTAAAATTACATGCATTCAGTTGCCAAATGGTGTCATTGGCCCATTGGCGTGCCTAAGAATATTATCTGTAGGGTTATGTTACGGTGTGTGTTTATGGAACTAAAATTTTCACTAGAATCACTTCTAAAATGAAGTTTCAGTGAACAGTGTCTCGCGACTTGAGACAGAGACAGGACGAAAGAGTTTTGTTTTGATTAAAAAACTTTGAGTTTATGAATATGTTTAAGTTTGGTTCAATATTTTAATATATTTCGTATCGGAAGAAGGGTGATCAACTAAGTGCATAACACTTGGGCCAGTTGTACGTATTTTTAAGTGGTCCTTTAGGGCCAAATCTTCTGCCATCCCAAAGAAGTGAATCGTACGGTGTTACATTTAGTCTAGTTGTCTTACATTGGCCATAGGGATGAAATGCCTCAATATTGATTGACTGTTTGCTGGATGTGAAACAAAAACAAATGTTTTGTTTCACTTTTTTGTTAATATAGCGTGATATCGATTACAGAGTTCTCTAAGAAGCCATTCGTTCCGGCTTGTCGGCGTTCAGATTACCAACGACACAAATACATCTTATACATGTACATCGAGGCGGCTGTTGGAAAGAGTTAAGATATCTGTTTTACTTCCCACTCCCACTAGCGAGGCTGTATTGTAATGTGTCTCTCTGTCTGCTAACCATTGGCCCGTCTATAACTTGGAAAGTATTGCTCGGATTAGGATGAAATTTTTAGACAATGTTAATACTATATCAAGGACAAACAAGCTTTGCAGTTTTTGGAAATCGGTCCCGTGGCGGCGGAGAAAAAGGCAAATAATTGAAAATTTTTCCCGTACGTTAGACCTTAAAATTGAATGAAAGGGTTGTTTTCAATAAGCGTCTGCTTCCGGCGGCGTGCCGGTCTTGGTGAGTGTTTTGGTATTACTGCCGCGCTGTCGATCTGACAGGGTATAGGTATCAGGGAGAGGGGGCGCTGCCTACTGGTAGGGCAGGTAAAGAATGACTACGGACCTGTTTAACGGACTTGATCCATTCAATTTCTATGTTATACACGTTCGTAGCCAGCAGTGGGTCTAACTTGTCCTTAAAATAATCCTTTATCAACCGATGACGGCATTCATGGGAAGTTCAGAGTAAACTTACTTGACGTCATTGTTTCTATACTGAGCTTAGGTAGAATCCCAAATATTGAGACAGCGTGACTGCTACATGGAGCTTGAAGACATCCGATGTTTGAACTACCTAAGGTTAGTAGAGCTGGCAAAAATCTCCTTATGCGGATTGTACCACAGTCTCATCATCCTAGGAATAAAGGATTGGTCATGCCGGTCAGTTCTGGAACGGAAAAGGTTCTTATGAACACAAAGCCAAACAGTCCTGATGAATTCTCTTGCCGAGATACTAATTAATATTAGTTAGAAACAGAGTAGGTACTTCTAAAATGGCTTAAGCTATTGACGCCTTTCGGAATAAGAAGATGGTAAAGAAGTAGATAGTGAGTAGAAGAAGAAATATAGGTCTGCCATTTTTGTCGATAGGGAATTAAAAACTAAGTAGGTATCTGATTTTCTAAATATATTCTGTATGTTCAAGAATAAAATTTTAATTGATTGTTTATTTTCCAAAACAGTGTTCTTGGATATTAGCCCTTAAACTATTGCTTGCCACATCTACTGGCGAGGAAGTATTGTAGTCGTGAAACATTTTGAAAATGAGATTATGCTTTTCGGATGTTGTATGTCGAAAAACCGTGTTACTTATTTCCTTCGGTCTGTCTGTCGGTCTGTCCGCCTATGTCTTGGAAAGTACTGTTCTGATTTTCCACACAAAGTTACTACTGTGCTTTGTGTGAAAATCGCTCAAACTTCGGTCTTTGATTCTTCCGAGGATATTGCAATTTTTTGATATTAGTATATAGTACCCTGCTCATTCTATGCACCTTTTAGACATATTTCACACATCATAAATTTCTCCGTACATTTGCCGTTAGAAAAATATTTTCAGCAGACAGAACGCATACCAATCAGTCTCATTGGCCATGCACCACGCGGCTGTAAATATTGCATCCTTTGTAGTAGATCCAAGGGATATCTAAGGGGCATATCGTCAGTCGCTCATACAAAATTGTAGGAGGCCTTTAAGGCCTCCTTGATTTTCGTAGTCTTTTCTCTCCTTTACTTCAGAAAGGCTGGGGAATTTCTAGATTTTTACTGCTATGTGTCAGCATCAGCGCTCTTGTGAGGCTATGTTTTCTTTGTGAATTTTAAGACATTTAAGGCCGATATAACAGGTAACAGAAATCAAAAGCATGAACAATTTGATGCAAATAGATATTTGTAACATAACCTCAAAATAGAGCGCTGACACGAAACAGTAGAAAACTATGAAAAAGCAGGTCATAAAGGCGTCCTACAATTATTGTAGGAACGACTGACGATACGGCCCTAAAAGCATGTAATATACAACGCGATGACGCAATGTGTACATATAGTTTATTCACTGAAACAAAGCAGTTACGTCATATTTAGTAAATTTTGATGCCAGCCTTAATGCAAAATACATCCTAAATTTTTACGTATAGTTTGAATTTCCCGGGTACATTTATGTTGGTAACAGTCTTCTGTGTTGTAACATTGTCGCGAAGCTTGTCAGGTAATTATACCAACGGCTGTTGTTTATTTGTGGTAAATTTTCGTTCTTTTTGCCTCAATATTTGCTTTGTTATTTTAAATATTATTATATATATATATATATTTTGAGGTGTCCTTTTAAGAAACCTCTGGGCCGACAAGCAAAAGAATTCGTAATTTCTTTGACAAAATAATTTGAGTCCGAACTAGATCATGGAGCTCCAATATTGCTTTTACAGTCCGTAAGAGAGGTATTACGTAGTAAATAAAATTTATACTAGCTCTAGCGTTTACAAAACATACACTCCGTAATGTTGGTTGCGGTAAGCTATCGAAGACATAAAGTGGATTTTGTGAAACGTCCTAGGATCTAATTAATGTGGCAACCATGTGCATCACTGTCATTATTTGACGTTGTGACGTAACTACTTTGATTCAGTGAATAAATCATATGAGGTGGTCACGAGATTTTCTATAGATACAAGCATTATGCTTGGAGTGTAATTTAATGGAGTTTCTTGATTTCGTGAGAGAATATTATATAGCATAGGTATATTTTATTTAAGTACGCATCAACATTTTATGAAATTATACCTAAAGACTTAAAACATTTACATTTCGGAAATTATTCCAAGAGAAATTTGAAAAAGTGGCTACCTTCTATACCCAAGACTGAAATTCATAAACTCATAAATATTAGCATCCAGTAAATGCATAATCTACTGTGATTATTTTTTGCTCTTTTTCATAATTTGTGTTCTACAGTTACAGCTTGAAATTATTGGTCCATGCACTATTGCGCCTGTTTCTATTTTATATTAATTTACTTATGATGATTTCTTTGTAGATTTAGTGAATAATATTATTACTTCTCCCCATTACAGATGTGCGTGGGGAATAAGCCTTCTTCTCTGGCCACCGTGGATTTACAGCTGGCCTTACATCGAAGGCCAACGAACTGTGCCGAATGACGAATGTTACATCCAGTTCATCGAAACGAACCATTACATCACTTTCGGTACAGCGATCGCTGCCTTCTATGTTCCAGTCTCTGTCATGTGCTCCCTTTATTGGCGGATATGGAGGGAGACGGAAAAGCGACAGAAAGATCTTCCCAACCTTCAAGCCGGAAAGAAGGATAGTAGTAAGAGGAGTAACTCTAGGTAGGCTTTATTTTGCATACTGCTAGTTATAAGTAGCAGTTTCATGAGGACATCGAGCTTCAAAAGAGGTCACGTGCTCGATGATACATGGTAGTATGCGGACTTGGATGGAACACTGGAATCCGATATTCGAACACGAATCCTACATACTGTCTAAATTGTATTCGATTACTCAAGATTCAAACTCAACAATAAAAGGTATTCGAATACCGCTGTTTTGAGTACCTGGATTCATTTAAATAAGTAAACTTTTATATACTCGAACTTAAAAAACATATGCGCACTTTAATCTTGATTTTTATTTATGAAGGTACATGAATTATAAAAATATATAAAAAAATTGAAAATGCATGACCATATTGAATAAAACTTAAAATAACATTTTGATACACAGTGTCACAGTCAGGTTAGAAAAATTAATTGTATAATAAAAACATTATTTGATTTTTAGAATAAAACCTAATAATAAAATATATAAATCTTAAACAATGTAACCTACATAATTAAAAAATAAACGTACATTCTTATATATCTGCTTTATCTGATATCACACACAAATTACAACGTATTAATGCTTGTTATAAAACAGAATGGAACTACCGCACAAGGGGTGAATACGTTATCTAACCTATTTCCTTAAGCTACCTCGTCATTGCGAATTCAGAAGTGCCATCGTCCACACAAACAAAATAACTTTGCGTAGTTATTTTGTTTCTGCCATCCACAACCACCGCGAACGTGTTTTAACACGCTTAAGTTGCGTAAAGCGTAACGCAATATTGATAGAAGTAGCCAAACATTATTCGAAAATAGGATTGGAATACCGAGATTTCAATACAAAGTGGGTATCCGAATATTGGGATTCAGAATCCGGAATATCGAATACCGACCAAAAATTATTCAGTCGAAGACCAAATACCAAACACACAAATGTATTCGATTAGTATTCGAATACCACCCAAACATACTCTGAAGAGGATTCAAAATACAGAGTATTCGAATACTACCCAAGACTGGTAGTATGTTCGACTTTAGCGCGTGAAAGTTGTTAAAGCATTGACAATCGGCCATTTGACGCGTATCAACGCGACTGTAGATTAGAGCTCGAAAAACTAGTGATATTTGTGCTTTAAATAGAAGAATAAGACCATATTTCCTTCTATATTGTCAAAAGATGCGAATGCATGTATCTATATCCTTGAAATATCATGCAAGAACACAACATATTTGGAAATAGAGAAGTCCAAGTACCTCTGACGTCGAAATGTGTACGAGAGAGAAGCGCGAGAAGCGTGCAATACGTACGTTAGAAAGACATAGAAGCACCATGTTGCCTGGTAACCCGAGCGCTTCTCTCTCGTACATGGTACCTCGTCAGTAATATGTATTATGTATATAGGCTCAATTGAAGTCTCGTAAATGTCGAACTATTTCGCTGTCATTTATCAGATCAGAAGGGTCAATTGTAAATTCAAATTATTCCTAAGCTCAAATCGACCATACACGGTCTATTTATAATTATAATTTTCTATTGTCATCTTCAGAATAACTCAAAATAAATTCCTTCTAAAGCCACTCGGTGCTGCTCCTCATAGCAGTGCTGGGATACAATTACTGGAATAGCCTTCAGCTGGTCGGTTACATCCATTTGAATGTCTTCGACTGTCCCAAAATGAGTTCCATTGAAGTGATTATTCAACTTCGGGAAGAGAAAAAAGTCACAAGGACTCAAGTCAGGCGAATAAGGAGGATTAGGAGCCACATATACGTTTTTACTGGCCAGAAACTCGTTTATTGACATTGCTGTGTTGCCACGCATTTTTTTTTTATAAGCAAGAGGGAATGGTGGTGTGATTCCTCTTTCACTTTTTAATTAATTAATAAGTAAAATACGATAAATAAAATCTAACAGTCAGTCAATGCAAAACAGCTGTCTAGTGGCGTGCAAATTTAGGCCGTAGCCCAATAAAGCGCAGAAACTTGAGACAGATTAAGCCACAAATCGCCGAGATGTTAGTCGGAACTTGTTTTGCTTGACCACCACACAAAAGAACAGAATCTATCAACAATGACGAAACCTAATTAATTGTATACAGATAGCCAAATAAAACAAGATATATAAAAAATCACAATATATCATCTAATCAAATAGTACATAGTATGCTCCACCACTGGAGTGCAAGTTGAAAAAAAAACGATATTATTATTAAACTGCCGCACAGTAATAATATTAGACCGTGACCACAACCTTGAAAAACGTTTACCATGGTACACGTACGAAGGCTTCAAATATTTTAACGCCTAAACCTAAACTTATCTGAACAGTGGTCTTCTTCCAGTTACGGCTCTACAGTATATTCAGATAAGAGATAGTCCGGACATAAACAAGGCCACGTGATCATCGAACGCTGTAACATTCGGCAGGGACGTATTAAGAGTCACGCAGTACATATTTTAGATAGTAGATGCTGCTTTGCGTAACTTTGTAGTAAATTAGCACAATTCGATGTGTATACGATTGGTGATGGATATAGGATCATGTGGGGGTGGGGTAAGAAATATATAATGATGTAAATATACATAAGGGTTTCAAAATTTTCGCTTAGATTTCCAGCTTCGGATGCCGAGTGATGTTTGGTGAAATACAGTCGAATATAATCTCAAAATGGCGTTTAAATTAGCCTAAATTAAAAATAATCGAATATCTCTTAAAATTGCTTTTAGAATATTGATTAGTATATTTTTTGATTTCTAGGTAAATATGTAACCAAATTAAAACGTTCAAAACGTAAAAAAATGTGCATGGTTGAACATTGTCAGAAAGTAGATTCTTGAATAGGTTTTGCCAAAATGGGTTCAAAAATGTCAATAATTAATTAAAAAATACAGTAGCTTTATAATTACTTATAACTTACCGAATTTGATGAACGACATCTTTTATTGGAAAGATGAGCTTGATGAGCTTTCATCATCGCTACTGCCTGAAGCACCAACGTCAATAATGAATGGCTCGACTTGTTCCTCTAAAATATTGTCCAGTTCCCACATTCTCTTTTCAACTTTGTCTTTCACGTGCTTAATACAGTTTTCCCATTTTTGCGCTGTTATTAATTCTAGTGCTTCTTTGAAAAGTCCTTTGAGGTCACAAAATTTAAAAGTTATATAATTTTTAACCTCTGCCCATATGAGCTCAATGGGATTGAGCTCGCAATGGTATGGAGGTAAACGGAGCACAGTTTTATTTTGACTTGCTGCCATTTCGTCAATGGCGTATTTTTGATATTCCGCCAATTTTGAACATCAACTTTCCTTGAAGCCGTTGTTGGGACCTTCTCCATTCTTCGAGAATGATAAGGCGCATTATCCAACACAATTACTGCGTTTTCCTCTAAGTTCGGTAAAATTTTTGAAAACCACTGTTCAAACGATTCGCCATTCATTTCCTCGTGGTAATCTCCAGTTTTCTTAGACTCAAAGCACCACAGACCGTCAACAACAAATCCATCCTCACTGCCAATATGGCAGATAATGAGCCTTTTCCCTTTACCTGGAAATCGAAGTACTAACTGGTGTAGATTTATTTCAATAAGCGAACCTTTTTCAAATGTTTTCATCACATTCAGCGAAAAAACATTGAGACATGAGTATCAGATTGCTATAATTGGGATTATTTAGTCATATTGAAAGAAAGAATATTGAACGTCGTATGATTACTCAGCGCTTCACAATTTAATTTAAAGTTATAAACCTCTAAAAAATGAATGATCAGGAACCTGAAATACGCGCAAATATTAATATTAACAAATTATAACTTTATAAAGCTTAAAGTATGAATTAAAATGATTAGAAATATTAGGAACGGTACACAATATAAAACTTAGTAACTTTTTTTAAGTTTATAGTATTCGACATATTTTAAGATTATATTAAAAAATTATTGAAATATCGAAAACACATAAAAACATGGCTTAAAAAAGTTCTAACAAATGAAAATGACAATAATACATCCACGCATTTTATCGAAAGTTATAAAAGTTTTGTTACTTGTAATATGTTTTATCTGCCCCCTGGAATTAATGTTTAGAACCTTGTTCCCAAGGTTTGAAAAACATCCGATTGTTGTCTATTACTCGTATTTACCTGCTGGATTTTTTAATCCGGTGGACAGTCCATCTAGAAAGGCCCTCCTGGATGAAGTTACAGAATCATCAACCCATACTTTACTTGTAGTGTGTCCTGCGTTTACCCACGTTTCATCAAGGTAATAAATCTTCCTGTTTTGATTTCTATATTTCCCAATTTTTGTTAAATAATCCCTCCTCCATAGCACAATTTCTTCTCTATCCAGTAGTAAACTATTACGACCCCGTTTTTTCCATTTGAAATTTAAATGCTTCAGTAACGCATGGAAAGTTGAAATTTGGCAACGTTGTATCTCCATTTACCTCCTGCAGTACTTTATCTATAGTAGGTATTTCATTCCTAAAGAAGAATTCATGCACTTTCCTCCTAATCGCATGCTTATCAGCTTCATCCAATGATTTAACAATACTTTTGCGATGTTTACTGGTCATTGGCTCAGAAAAGGTGTGATTTTTTTTGTATTGTCTTAACACAAGAAAACACTGATGCGCGACACACCCCAACTTTGTGAGAAACCTTCACAACAATTTCTTTGATGGTTGACCTCTTTCATTTCTGCACTCAGGTGTCTTTTTTTAGAGCGTTTCCTAGGTGGACTACATGAGTTTACAACTTCATCGGCAGTATCTGTACTACTGGGCATTTTGCGCAAGCAGTTGATAACAATAACAATCAATAACAAGGTATAACAATAACAACGACAAACTCAACAACTTAATAAGATAACAAACGAAAACGTCCAAAGAAATATCAAATTGCAATGATGCACACGACATACGTAACACGTCTGAACCTGAATGTGACTCTGCCTTGATACGACTGCTCTGCCGCTCGGCATAGGCATTTAATTGCGAATT